TTGTCGGGTAGCTGGTATTGGGAGAGTTAGATTGAAGTTGGTGGATGAAACAATCAGAACACTTGGCCAAGTTCGACTGTTCCAGACCTGAAGAAGAACATCAGTCTTGAAGGTCCGAAAATGTGTCCATGTTGTATTGGAGGGGCGGAGAAAGTCTCAGTTATACATTTTGCAAAGGTTGGGTAGAATCAGTGAAGAGTCATCAACACAGGTTTGGTACCGTGGTGGATATAGAGTTTAGTACAGTACCGTTTGGAGTGGCTCTGGGTCTATTTTGGAGAATACTACTCTATCGAGTTTGGTGGATATGAGTAATTCCACCTTACCACCACAATTTGTGTTTCCATTGTATTCAACGACTATGGAGAAACCTATTGGAATAGGTACGGGGATGCTGATCTGAATGTGCATGATTTTGGAGTTGTTGAGTGTGACGAGTCTAGCCGAGGCCTTCAATTAAAGTATTTAATGGTGATTTTGCTACAGGGTGTGCTTCGACCCGGTTTGGTAAATTTTGAATTCGTTGTGAATTTTGGTAACCCGGGGGTTGGGTTCATTAGTATCTGTGTTTGGATATGGTGGAAGAGGAAAAGTATTTTCGAGTGTTGGAGAGGTTGGTTCAGGTTGAAGAGTTCAGTGTGTTTTCACTGCAGTCAGACTTCTTTTTCCAGGTGGAGAAATTTTGGAGTTTCGTTTGTTGCACCGAAATTTGTGTCAAGGTGGAGATTGTTGGGTTTTGTGACCCAAATTCGGTCCAAATTAGGTCTAGAGCTTCGCGTTGTGGAGTATTGGGCTTGAAGATTAAAAAAAGGGTCAAAGAAGGAAAAAAAAAAAGGTCGATTGATGGCGCTGGACGGACGCCCGCTTATAGCTTGAGCGATATGAGTAAAATTGGAACAGGGAGTTCGTCGCCCACCTATCGCTGAGCTATTGCCCGCTTATCGCTCGAGCGATGGGCCGCAGTTTTTTTTCCTTCTTTTTCGATTTTATGCGATTTTTAACCTAATTTCCATATTTTAGGTTAATTCTAGGGTTTGGACATGTCTCCTATAAATAGTAGTCTCTTCATTCAGTTTAGATGGAAGAAGAAAATGCAAAAGTTGTATTTTCTCTCTATTGGTTGTTATTAATAAGATATTTGGTTCCTCTTCCAATTTCATTTCTTGTTTATTTTCTTTCAAATCTTGTTCTTGTTTATTAGTTTGTGCGATCTATATTTCATATCGCGTCATATTGCCTCCTTGAATTCCTAAAAGCCACCTTCAAGGCCCAACCCTAAATTAGAACTTGATGCCTGGATATCAACCAAACCAGCCAATATTTTGAAGAACGTTAATAAAGTTGGCAATACCCATGGTTAGCATGCATGTTGGCAACTAAATGATTTGGCATTTTAAATGCTATGAAATCTCAATTCATTACATTGAAATGCTTTGCAAGATTACATTCCTAAATAATGAAAAATCGACGATTTGTTTCAACTGCAGTTTAATGATATCTCGCTATAACCTACATAGAGATGACAAAAAAATTCGACAAACCCGATATCCGCAGGGCTCCGCCCCGAA